TTCTTCACAAGCAAATTTCGTGCCTGATTGATACGGAGATGCAAGTTTCGTGGGCAAATAACAGCGTGTTGCGATGCAAAATCCACGCAATTCCAAATTACTTAAACACTTTATTGAAATCACCTAGAAATCTTATCTTAAATCTTGTCACCATATTTACGTATAAATATTTTCACATCAATTTTTAACTTTAAAAATACTTTGAAGGAATCACTATAAGCCTCGGTGAAGGAAGATTTATTCTTAGGGTTTTTTTATTTTTCATCCACCGTGCCTAAGGTTGGTGCAAGAACCTAAAGGATGTGATTTGAGCTACCTGTTATTGAAGTACGCTTTGGTTACCATAATTAAATAGAAGATAAACAGGTCCACAAATGTATCCTTCGAAGACAAAGAGCTTATCTGTTCTTAGGTACCACAAAACAGCCCAGAAAGATAAATCAAATGCGCTCGTTACCTCAGTGGCAAGGTACGTAAAACCTTGCACATTAGCGAGACTTTTGTCAGTTGCATTGTTTAACTGGCATATGTGTTTTCCTTGGATAAATGGTCCCAGATTGATGGACACGCAATCGGGGTCCGTATAACACAACACACGACAGCTCCCCTCATTAAGCACATCCTCATTTTTGATTAAATGATTCTTCATTTTCTTATTCGGGATTGGTTCTTTGAACACGATAATGCGAAATTCGTCATCTGTGGAAAGCAAATAAAATTTTTAATGTGGCTCTCTTCAAGATAAAGAGCATTTCCATTACTTTTTTCATCAATTTTTATTCAATGCTTGCTCTTTGTAAATTAACTTTACCCATTTAGGTTTAAAGTCTTTACTCTGCAAAAATGTCCATGGAGTCGTATGGGAGTTCGACAAATTTACGGAAAAAGGGCTATTTCTTCTTCAAATTACATATCTTCCGAAAGTTTTGTATCTAACTTAGTTAAATTGAATCCTTACAGTTATCAGAATTGAGAAACAATATGTAATAGGTAATGGAGAGATGATTCCTCGAAAAAAAAATGGCCTAAGATGAAAATGGTATGAGGGCAGTAAGTTTTGACTTTAGTTACAAGTTTACAGATGGAAAGTTTATAACAAGTTACAAGTTTATTACAAGTTTGAAAAAAAAAAAAAGATATATACTGCTCGCAGTTAGTTATAGCTAGTCGAGCCTTTATGCATGAAAAAATTATCTGCAATTAAGAGATATCTTAAGACAATAGAAAGATAAAATAACGAGATATTCTTACCCAAACAGCAATTACACCAAAAGGAGAAAGTTCCAAACATGATGAAGACGATGAAGGCGATGGTTGTCATTTTGAGATAAAAATGGAGGTCTAAATAACGCATCCCTACAGATACGCGACAGAAAGCTACTTCTAATGCAGAAGGCAGTTCTATTTTTCACCCTTAAATATATTATATACAACAAAGAATGCAGGGGGTGCATTATTCTACTCAGCAGGTACTTCAGCCGCAAACAGGATTCTGAACTAGTTGCAATTAACTTCCATATGCGAGTGAATGCTCTTTATAAAATATTTTCTAGATGTTTATTACGACCACTTACAGCTGCTTCAACCGAGATGGATAAAAAAGTTGCGCTTTCATTTTTATTAAAAAATTTCAAGTTTAATTATGTGGGGTGTTTCTATTCCTTCACATGCTCTCTCAGGAAGTTAATTTAATTTGAACTTTCAATAAGTGACACCTCTAACAGGTGTTTTTATGGAGATAAAAGCAATCTATGCATTTATCTCCACAAATTCCTGTTTAATTATGATTTCTTCTCTTTTAAGCCTAAGGCGTTCTCAGTTTAAAATATCACCTTCAAATGAAAGAACAGGTAACTTTAGATGTTGTCGAAGTTATAGGGTTGGCTCCTTAATTATATTGCTTCACAGCAAGATGTCTTAAGTTCGTTATTGCAAAAATTTCAAGTTTTATTATGTTGCGTGTTTCTATTCCTTCATTTGCTCTCTAAGTAGGTTAAATTGATTTGAAATTTTAATGAATGATACCTCTAAACAGGTGTTTTTATAGAGATAGAAGTAATTTATGCTTTTCTCTCCACAAATTCTGGTTTAGTTATGATTCTCTTCTCTTTTAAGCCTAAAGCAGTCTCAGTTTAAACTAACACCTTGAAATGACAGAACAGGCTTTAAACCTTGTCAAAGTTAGAAGGACAGCTTCTTAGTTATATTCTTTCACAGTAAAATATCTTAAGTTCGTAACATTCGTAATAGGTAATATTAGACCTTGTCAACATTGTAGGGTTGGCTCCTTAGTTATATTCTTTCACAGCAAAATGTCTTAAGTTCGTAGAGCGTATGACTCATATTTCAAGCCATTTCACAATAAAAATATCCTGGCCTGAATTCTCTTGCCCATCCAAGATCTGCGTGAGATCCATTCCTTCCTATTTTTCTCATTTGATCGCTTAGTAAACTGTCATTACCAACTTTTTTTTCCTTTTTTCCAGAGTGATTTCAAAGGTTTTACCACAGCTTTTTGAATAAAATTGACCTATCATTTCAAATTCGACAAAGAGTGATTCGAGCTGATTTCAACGGTACCAAATAGTGCTTAAAGATATAATCATCAAATAGAGAAGCCTTGACTGTGCTCTGTTCTGTTTTTAAGTACTTAGGAAGCGGCTAGAGCACGCAAGAAGTATTGTGGGAAACACGAGACGTAGTGGATTCTTTTCTAAAGAATCCGTTAAATTCCCCAGGCATTACTTTCAATTTTCAAAACAAACTTTACTTTCAAAGCGATTATCAGTGTCGTCAGCATGCTCTATATTCTCATAAAGCACGCTCCAGTTGGTATATCAGGATCCTTGTAAAAATGGTTCAATAATCTGATTGGTTGAATAAGACGAATCCTGTCAAAAATGTCAAACCATCAAAGTTCAGTAACCATCGAAGTTTACAATCTGCAATAGTTTACAGACTGAATTAGTTTGGCAGGTTCAATTTAACACTTTTTCCTGAAGTTTTTTTTTTTTTTTTTTTGTCTCAAACATATAATCTGAAAGTGAAATGTTCAGTGAATTCCGGCTGAATTGGGGTTCATAAAAACACGCAAGTTCTTTCACAAAAACAAACTGCGCAAGACGTGTGTTGTATGAATAGCGACAGCCGAATTCACAAGTACATGAAGATTGCTCGGGATGACAGCACTGTAAAATTCGGCTGCTGTGACTCATGTGGCCTTCCACGCATCGGAAAGAATATCAGATCAGAGTAAACTCTTAGTTGCTCGAAGGGCGTCCGGTGTAATTCCAAGGCTTGCTTCAATGCGATGACCGGAGTTGGCCATGATAAGCTAGCCGCGATGGACCTTAGCATATTTCATTTTAACAATAATGCCAGCTTGTTTATGTTTTTCATCATTCCTATTTTGTTATGTTTTGTTTTTGAACACGAAACTATAAATACTGCAAAAGTGTTAGCTGTGTTTGATTTTTATCACCTTAAGTAATTAAGTTTGCAATCTAACTGAGCGTGTAAAACCTTCAAAACTCGGACTGTCCATTTCACTTTCTCTTGAAGGAGATTCATCTCCGTTCACGTCAGTTAAGGCGCTTGGCATTTTTACAAACCTTTGTTTGGTTCTTCTGTTGCTACTCTCCGGCTCGCTTATTCCAAAATTTCACTTACAATTAGCGAAAAAAAGCTAGAGAGAGGTCCGAGAAGAGGTTGGACACAATACAATTTGGCAAATGGCGTGACAACTTTAGTTCAGCTCTATGTTTTGTACTCTGATAGAGCACGCTTTTTCAATCAATGACAGCGCGCGTTATATCTGAACTATAGATAAATAAAACTACCTGAAGATTCCTATGCTATTAATTACAAATAAATTCCCAGTATCACGGTTTGCTTTTTTTTAATTTTCATCGAATGAAATAATTTCAGGTTCGATTGATGAGAGCTTTTATTCTTCTTCTCACAGTTGGTTCAGAGACAGTTATTATTTCGACCGCGCTCCTTCTGCAGATTTTTCATTTTTTCCACGAAACCCTGCAGTAATTTGTTTTCTGTGTCAATTAACAAACACAGCTGCCGTTATCAGGAGTTTTACAAAAGGAATTTCTCAGAGACTGGGAGTTTTTCCTTCAAATTTGCTTACTGTTATTACATGTAGACTGAAAAACTGTCGGCTTCCTCCAAAGATTTCAATAAGGTTGTTTTAAACTGTAAACCATTTCAGGTCAAGGAGCAGGTATTAAGTAAAGATTTAAATAATATGTTAAAAAGAGAGAAACTTGACTTTAAGAAAGAAATCTGAAAGGGTAAAGATTTTCATACTAGATTACCACCAACCAATAACTGAGAAATTTCAACCGATAAAGAATTTCATTAGTTTTTGTCCCCCAGGCCCCTCCCCTAGATCCGCCGGCCGCCACTGATCTCGAAAGAGTAGGTTTAAAGCATTGGCTGCATATTTTCTATTCCCTATAAATAAGGTTTATTAAGTTTTTACTCTTCCTTCCGCGCTTATGAAGTCTTTTCTGCACCCACGCTTATTTGAGCTCGATTTACCACAGAAAATGTGTATATAGCTACCAAAATGGCTTCGAGTACACATTGAAAGTAGGTGGTGGTAAGAAGGAAGTAAGAAATGGAATCAGAAGACTGACAGGGTTAATAACATATTTCAATCATACTCCTCTCAAAACTAGAACCCTTCACGCACTATTTTATCAACAAAAGGCTGGGAAAAGGGAAAAAAAAGAGATCTCCTCGAGATTATCTAAATCGTTTACTAAATGATTAGCCATGATTGTATTTTGTTTTACGTGAATAGTACTTAGTACTATAGCTTAGTATTTTCTTAGCTTCCTTAACGATGTTCTCTTATTTAAGTACTGTAGTAAGATTTCCGTCTTTGTTTGTGCTGAAATTGTTGCTGTTAGCTTTTTTGCACAATGTGCGTTGAAATGAATTTAGTCACCTGCTGTGTTATAAGAACCAAGGATCAACTGGTATTTGTCATGTTCACTCCTGACACCAAACAAGCTGTATTCGGCATAAGCACTTTCCCCTTCGAAGTCCTCCATGTCTACTCGTAGCATGCTGTTATTATCTGAAGTCAGGCGATGAATCCTTTCTAAGCCAAGCCAAAATTCGCCATTGAGATTTCCGAAGCCATGCTTATAGTTGCTCCAGTTGAGGTTGAAGTCAACGGAACCGTCGATTCTTTTCTGGAATACCGTCCATCCTCCGCCAGCTGTTGTTTGGTCGCAGAAGACATCAAAAGCTGATCGGTCGTCAGGTTTGATGACGTACACACCGTCTCTTTTTTGGCCTGATTTAAAGATGTCAGCGCAATTTCTGAAAGCTAGAATAATGAAAAAATTTTAAAAATTAAAAAAAATAAAATAAAATAATGACGTATATTATGCAGCAAACAACAAGGTATTTACTGGATTAGAACAGTATCTTAACTGATGAGAGTAATGAAAGAAATTATAATTGGTAAATTAAGACACAGAAGTGTTTTCCAAACGATATCGATACGAAAGAATTGTAGTTAAAAAAAAAGGTCATGAAAAAGATAACCAGAATAAAAAAACTTAGGCAGGAAAGGAGACACACCTTACTTAAGATAAGATAATTAAATGGAAAATATAAGAAATGACTTAGGTTTCGCTTTAACGCAGAGCTAACGCACGAAATTCAGCTTTAAAACTCTTTACGGTGGCCAATTTTTACGTTATCGACTCAGGTGAAAATACTTTATTACCCTGTTATACTATCAATCCGACGCAGCACAACAGTCTCTATAAAACCTACTCCATTTATTCATTAGGTTTCAAAGAGTTTATGTAGCAATTTTTTGACCATATCATCACCTTTACAATACCTTGGCAAACTTCTCCTCCGCTGAATTCTTCTGGACAGATACACCGAAAACCTTTACTTGTGAAACCAGCTTGGCAGGTGCCTCCATTCAAACATGGGCCGCTATCACAAGGGTTCTAATTAGTAGCAAATATAAAATAAAGCACGTTCCGCTATAAAGTACCATTAAACTTATAACCAAAGTTGTCATGATAACATCTCCAAACTTTGAAAAAAGGAAAATGTGTAAAGCGCCATTAAGATTTTTTTAAAATTCATCACAAGCAAATTTCGTGCCTGATTGATAAGGAGATGCAAGTTTCGTGGGCAAATAACAGCGTGCTGCGATGCAAAACCCACGCAATTCCAAATTGCTTAAACTCTTAATTGAAATCACCTAGTAATCTTATCTTAAATTTCGTCACCATATATGTGTATAAATATTTTCACATCGATATTTTAGCTTTAAAAATACTTTAAAGGAATCACTATAAGCTTCAGTGAAGGACGATTAATTCTTAGGTTATTCTTTTCTATCCACCGTGCTTGGGGTTACTTACCTAGGCCTTCAAACTGACAAAGTATGATAGGATATGAAGGATATGAGGTTAGTTTTTTGAAATATTCCATATAACGGCAGAAAACCACGAAAAACGGTCACCCTACCGGAAGCTCGGATTTCACCTGGCGGAAACTCGAAATTTTACACTTTTCAGCTTCTCGCTACACAGACGTTTACATAGCTGTGAATCTTTCTTAAGTATAATTGAATACATTGATTCTTCCTTAGTCAAACCATGGGAATCATTTTTATCTCTGCTTATTTGTGAGCGAACTGAGACCCGATTAAGAAGACACACTTTTCTCATTTACGCGAAGGTGTAAAATAATCCAAACTCAGCGACGAAAAAAGCTGACCGGTAGTTCTTCAAATCCTCTGATATTATAACCAAAGACAGCTCAGTCATTGATTTTTAGGTCTACGGTTTTAAATCTTTAGGATCTAGTAGCACTTTTGCACGAACGCCGATCAAAATTCGATAAAATTCCAATTGAGCGCCTTTGAAATCTACAACTCTACATAACAATGCACTATTGAATAAATTAACTCCTCGGCCAAAGTTTGTACATAAAACATGAGGGTTTTACTTTCTTAGCGGTTTGAACCTTTTAAAAATATATATTGATGTTAAATATTGTCTACACAGGTAAAACAAACTATGAAACACCAAAATTACCACGAGCTGAAATTAAATCTCACAGGCTCGCTCCCTAATCTGTGTCACGCACGAGCGACTTCGCTACAATTAGTACAGTAACAAACAGATATTAACATCTGTTAATTTACAACAAGTCTTATTTTAAAATATCTTACTCAACGATGTGCCAGGTTCCCCAGTTAACTTGCTGAAGTAAAAATAAAAGAAAATATCATAATAGCAATTCAAACTGAAACGATAAGAATTGATTTTATTAAGAATAAGAAGCTTTATGCCGTCGATAGCCAATCAGAAGTACCTGTTCTCACGAAAATTGCATCGTTCTTTAAATAAATAAATCGAATTATCTTTATCTGTGAAACATTGCATCTAAAACCAGAGTTTATTGTCGGGGAACTTCATAGAACAGCGATGTCTTGCTCGTTCTTGAATATTGTGGGTGGGATTTGCGGCGCAGACGAACGCACAAGTTCTTCAACTTCCGTCACGCCTCTCACGCGGTGTAACAGGGATATCAAAATTCACAAAAAGTCGTTGAAATTTTCCGGAATTGAAACGGAGGTAGAATTAATTTTGGCGAGATGTGGATGTTTTCAAAAGCCGGCGAATTTATCGGATATGACTATCTGTCCGGTTCATCGTGCCAAGTTAGGTTTAGGTTGGCGAAGGACGGGTAATCTTTGCACCATCCCGGAAGTTGTTTCTGGTCACTGCAAGGAGCTGAGGAAGGCACCCGCACTGGAAAAAGGAATAAATTTATTCCAATCCATGAAGATATTTGAGCTTTCAAAACAGCTCGTCCCTGTGGGCTCAGGTAAGCAACCAACTACTTGATGTTCTACCAAACAGAAACTGTCTCCAATGAATTATTTATTATGGCCATATTGGAGTGATGCAACGACCGTAATTGTGCTATTAAACGTAAACATATAAATGTTGGTGTGACGTTTCCACTAGTATACTGTGCAAACTGTGCACTTTGTGGGTGGTTGGGGAGAGAGAGTAGTATGGTTGTTAAATCCTTTCCCCCCCCCTTCCCTCCTTTTTTAAATGTCGTAAAAATGACAGTGCACATCATTTATTCTTCGGTGCCCTCTTTGGAAAATTCTTAGTATTTTTCATCGAATATTGTCTAAATTAAACTTTATTTTCTCTATCAATGACAGACTGTAGTGTTGTTTGACAAGCGCAATCAATAAAACATGCAAGTCGTAAAACTCATAGTGTTTTTTTATAGTCGCATTGGACAACAGAATGAAGAGGATACAAAACTCATTGGAGACAGTTCCTGCTTGGTGGTACATTTTTTAGTTGTTATTTACCAGAGCCCATAGGGACGAGCTATTTTGAAAGGTCAAATATCTTCATGGATTGGAAAAAATATATTCCTATTCCAGTGCGGCTACTTTTCACAGCTCTTGCTGAGTGACCCGAAACAACTTCCTGTATGGTGCAAAAATTAATACTTGTGAACATGATGTATTTCTCAGTAAGTGACACAGGCATAATCGGAAAAAAAAATCCGAGTGCTTCATGGGACAAACATCCTGCATACTGCTAGGATTGGAATGTCATGTGTGGCATACGCGCAATGGAATAAATGTGATGGAATATTTTTAAGCCTGGTGAATAAATGAGAATGATGTATTATTCAGTTAGTGACACAGGCGTACTCGGAAAAAAAGAAATCCGAGTGCTCTCGGCCATCAGGAGTCCAAACTATCGACATCGTGTCAGGTTATGCCTAAGTGACACGATGAGACGGTACGGGTAGTCATCTCCAATAAACTCGTTGGCTTTTAAAAACACGCAATCTTGCTAAAATCAATTCTGGCTCAAGTCCGGAGAGTTTTTTAGGACTTCGTGCGATGTTTTATATCCTTGTTACACAGCGTGAGCAGTGTGACGAAAGCTGAGTAAGGGTAGAAATTAGCCATTGGAAGTTACTTAGCAAGTGCGTTCGTCTGCGCCGCAAATCCCACCGACAATATTCAAGAACGAGTAAGACGTCGTTGTTATGTATGTCTATTAACTTCGCCAACAACATACTCTGGTTATATGGTTAAGTAGATTTGTTTATTTAGAGAACGATGCAATATTTGCTTTTCGTGGAAACAGTTACTTCCGATTGGTTTTCGACGGCACAAAACTTCTCAAACTAAATAAAATCAATTATTATTGAGCTAGAATTACTATTAAGGTTTTCTTTTTTTTTCAGCAAGTTAACTGGGAAACCTGGCACATCTTTGAGTAAGATATTTTAAAAATACGACTTATTTAAAATCAACGGATGTAAATATCTGTTTGTTACTGTACTAATTGTAGCTAAGTCGCTCGTGCGTGACGCAGATTAGGGAGCGAGCCTGTGAGATTTAATTTCAGCTCGTGGTAATTTTGGTGTTTCATAGTTTGTTTTACCTGTGTAGACAATATTTAACATTAATATATTTTTTTAAAACGCTTCAAACCGCTAAAAAAGCAAAACCCTTATGTTTTATGTACAAACTTTGGCCGAGGAGTTAATTTATTCAATAGTGCTTTGTTATGTAGAGTTGTAGATTTCAAAGGCGCTCAATTGGAATGTTATCGAATTTTGATCGGCGTTCGTGCAAAAGTGCTACTAGATCCTAAAGATTTAAAACCGTAGACCTAAAAATCAATGACTGAGCTGTCTTTGGTTATAATATCAGAGGATTTGAAGAACTACCGGTCAGCTTTTTTCGTCGCTGAGTTTGGATTATTTTACACCTTCGCGTAAATGAGAAAAGTGTGTCTTCTTAATCGGGTCTCAGTTCGCTCACAAATAAGCAGAGATAAAAATAATTCCCATGGTTTGACTAAGGAAGAATCAATGTATTCAATTATACTTAAGAAAGATCACAGCTATGTAAACGTCTGTGTAGCGAGAAGCTGAAAAGTGTAAAATTTCGAGTTTCCGCCAGGTGAAATCCGAGCTTCCGGTAGGGTGACCGTTTTTCGTGGTTTTCTGCCGTTCTATGGAATATTTCAAAAAACTAACCTCATATCCTTCAGTTACTTACCTAGGCCTTCAAACTGACAAAGTATGAGCGCAATCGATTTTTTGACCGTGGCCACGTTTTTTGAATTTTCCTTGATTTTTACTGACATTTACTCTTAATGATACCTCCAACAGGTGTTGTTAGGGAGATGAAAGCAATTTATACTCACGGTATAGAAACGTAAATTACGGCTTTGCATTTTTACAATCTTTTATTTGGTTCTTCTATAGCTACTTTCCGGCTCGCTTGTTCCGAAATTTCACTTCTAATGAACGAAAAAAAGCTAGATAGAAGTCCGGGAAAAAGGTCGGACATGGTAAATGGTTAGACAGCTTTAGTTCAGCTCTATGTTTTGTACTCTGATAGAACACGCTCTTTCAACCAATGACTGCGCGCTATATCTGAACTTTAAATAAAACTACTTGGAGATTCCCATGCGATTGGTTATAAAAAATTTCCCAGTATCATGGTTTGCTTTTTCTAATTTTCACCGAATAACGTAATTTCAGGTTCGAAAAGTCATTTAAAGGAAAATTCAGTAAAATCGAAATTTCTAGACTTATGGTTAGGAATTGAAATATTTCGAATTTCTCTCGCAGCTCATATTAACCAAGAGAAAGACTAAAGATTTATACAACAGCTATCCTTTAATAACTAGTAGTGTCACTTTATAAGTTTGTGAACGTAAAACCCTAAGCTGATTTGAAATTCGTTTTTCCGGCTGGGCAGTATTTTTAAGCGAACACGTCGTTTACTATCTCAAGCCGATGAATAACTTATGAATCCTCTCTTTTCTCTCACTCAAATCACTTTGGTTGACAGAAAAATATTGGTTTCAGAATGAATTTGTATAAACAACAGCGTCACATTTGTACCGTAAATTGCACAACAGATACTGAACGAATTTTTTGAGAAAAGGCCTCATTAAAGCCCTTGTGTCTCGTTGGAGTGTGCCATTCGAATTTAGTTTTTGTGAAGGAAAGACCAGACTTACACACGCTATTGCAGCAAACAAACGAGCAAACTCTCACAACTTCAAAATAAAAAAAAATTGAATTTACTCACAATTACTTTCCTCGCCGATTACTCAAAGATAAGGGATAAATATTCGTACATGAATGAATCGTTGGTGAGAGTGAATAATACTTTCAGTTAGATCATTGACTGTTTTTGAAGAAAACATTGTCGTGACAGTCCTTGCCAAACTAGTTCCGTTGTTTTTCAAATGTTCTTACGCTTTTTTTTTTACTTACCGCTGTCTAATTGACAGGTATCAGTTCGTGACAGATACTTGTAAAAATAATGTTTCAAAGTTTTTTTGGAAGCCTTTTAAATTATCGTTACGGAAATGAAAATGTATCGCTGAGGCATCTCTCTTGAATTTGCATCACCTCTATTTTAACTACCAGTTACTGGCTCAAAAACTGTTCAGTTTATGGAAGATCTTGCCGTATTTACAGCCCTAAATCATTCGGGTTCTTTCAGAAAGAATTTCGTAAAGTTTCAAAAAATAAATATGTTATTTACCGGCTAAGGGTCGGTCGGTATGGTGAAAAACTGTGACCTCGGTCTTGAAAATGCGGCCTCGGGCAGTATTTTCAAGACCGAGGTCACAGTTTTTCACCGTACGGACCTCTCAACCGGCAAATAACATATATTTATTCTTCGTCTTACAGTTGGTTCAGTAACAGTTACTATTTCGACCACACTCCTTCCTCAGATTGTTAATGTTTTCCTAGAAACCCTGCAGTAATTTTTTTGTGTCAACTAACGAACACAGCTGCTGTTATCTGGAGCTTTACAAGAGGAATTTTTCAGAGACTGGGAGCTTCCCGACACGTTTCCTTTAAATTTGCTTACTGCTATTACGTGTAGACTGAAAAACCGTTGGCATCCTCCAAATATTTAAATAAGGTTGTTTTAAGCTGTAAATCATTTCTGGTCAAGGAGCAGGTGAGAACAAGCTTTAAAGAATATGTTTTCAAAGAGAAAGTTGACTTTATAAGAGAAAAATAAATCTGAATGCTGAAAGAAGTAAAGAGTTTCACTCTAGATTACCACCAACCAATAACTGAGAAATTTCAACGAATTAAGCCTTTAGCTCCTATGAGTGACCAAGATATAATTTCTCCTTTCAATACCAATACAATATCAACCAGATAAGTGATGAGAATAAAAAAAATATCAATTTGAAGATAATTAGCTGACCCAATGCTAAATTCTCTGAACCAACATTATAAGAATTGTATGGTTGACAGTAAGAAGAAAGACAAATATGATCTGGGAGTAAAAGGGTTAAGAATTTCATTAGTTTCCTCTCTTTCCTTCTTTTTCAAGGGAGGAGGAGGAGGTGATTGATACTAAATCGTTTAATAGCAGATACCGGCTTACTGATGTGATATTTCGATTTCAATAGGAAATGACGACACAGGAAAGGTTGATCGTCGGATAATTGTAACAGAGAGGAAATAAAAGAAATGTAGGAGTTAACTGAGGTGAAACATTTCGGAAATAAAAGTTAACTTTTATTTATGCTCCCGCTCAGCTCAAGTACACTTAAGTTGAAGTGCGTAACTATTACATATACAGTCCATTTTGAGCTTAGAATTAAAGTATGCAATGTTTGTTTATTCAGAATTTCGTGGTCACAAAGATTTGAAGATAAACAGTGAGCTGCCATAAACCTGAGCACGTTTACACATTATAACTAAAATTAATTTTACCGTTGTATTGCATTTTAGCAAAAACACATAATTAATGACTGTCCTCTCAAAAAATGTTCAAACATTTCTAAAATTTCGCAAATAGAATATTTTTCCACAAAATCATTTCATTTATTTTTCCGAAGCTTGAAAGGATGCTAATTTTGGAGATATATGCATGATACACAACAAGCATATTTATATTTTAAACTGAGTGTTCCAATTACGTCATACTAGAGTAAAATCTTTCAGGATAAGACGGAAGACGCTAACGCTTTGTTGACATGCAACAAATATTGTGTCTTTGCGTCATAGTTAGTGCGTAATGATCGCAAAGAAAACGGATGGGTTTGGACCGAACATTTGACAAGTTGCGTCAGAAATTATTTTGCGTTCGTTGAAAATTGATGTCAGTTGAAACTCAAAAAATAAGGTAAGCAGTAATGATTGCTTGCCTGTGTAGAAAAACCAAATAAAACAAACTTGAATAATTAATTAATGATGATAAACTTAACAAATTTTTGCTGTTTTGTAGAATGTGTAAATTACCAGCTTTTAGTCTGGAGAAAACTAAAAAATATTAATTTAGTGAGATAGAAAAACACCGAGATCAATCAACCCAAAACAAATGACGATGAGGAAGATGGAGAGGATTGCCATGGATTTTAAATCGGTGATAAGCTTGAAACAGCCGCCTTGTATAATGTGCAAAATTAGCTTTGGCGTCAAGAAAACCAAAAAATATGAGTTTGGTAAGACGGGAAAATAACAAAATCGACGAGAATTGCCAAAAGCGAACGAGTATTGCTAAGGATGGAGAAGATTGAAATGGATTGGAAATAACTAACTCGAAAATTAATTCGGGTACAAGCTTTGTAATATCTATGCCTACGTCACTAAAATACTGAGTGAGAGCGTTTGCTGAGTTCAGAAAAGTTTAAGACATGATGTGTGCTAAGTAAGAGGAACTTCAGTCCAACTCAAAAGACTCTTAGTCTTATGGTCATCTCGGTGCTTCATTTTTCACCTTTGGTTTTATATCGCTAACAATATTGAATCAAACCGTGTGCTGTGTTCGAAAACGCTTCAGCACAAAATCAGTGCTACGTAAGAGATAACTATTAATCAGCAGCTTAAAAGTCTCGAGGTCTTATTTTCATCTGAGAGCTCTTCAATCAATAATGATAACCTTTAAAACCTTTCCAAATAACGCCTTCGCCGTAATCAGAGTTAGGCCCATTGTAAGGACCATTCAAAAAAGCCTCGTGACACCACTTAAACCACCAGCCACCATGGTACGCGAGGGCACAGTTTCCATCGGAACCGAAATCGTTGTCTTCATGCGGAGTAGTAAATGGACAGCCATGATGGTAAGAGAAGGAGTCACCAGCGGTTCCTGAGAAATTTACCAAAGCAAAAAAAGTATTTAAAAGTTATAATTTCCTCAGTGGTAGAAGTAATACTTTCTTCAGTGGCGGATCCAGACAACTTGGGGGGGTTATGGTTTTATCGTTTGCTCTGTCAGCTTTTCCTCCTTCTGCGATTCTTTTTCTTTTTTCACCCAAAATAAGGAAGGGTCAATAACATATCTCAATTATTCTCCTCTCAAGAATCAGAACACTTCAATATCTTTTTTTTATCAATATAAGGCTGGGAAGGGAAAATGAAAAAGAAATATCTCAGAGATCATCTGAATTGTTTACTAAATGATTAACCATTATCGCATTTCGTTTTACGTGAACAATTTTTAAACCGCTGGGTCTAGGACTTTCTTAGCTTCCTTAAAGATGTTCTGTCTCTTATTCAAGTAGTAACATTTCCGTCTTTGTTTGTGCTGAAATTGTTGCTGTTAGCTTTTTTGCACATTGCGCGTTTAAATGAATTTAGTCACCTGCTGTGTTATAAGAACCAAGGATCAACTGGTACTTGTCATGTTCACTCCTGACACCAAACAAGCTGTATTCGGCATAAGTACTTTCCCCTTCGAAGTCCTCCATGTCTACTCGTAGTATGCTGTTATTATCTAAAGTCAGGCGATGAATCCTGTCTAAGCCGAGCCAAAATTCGCCATTGAGATTTCCAAAGCCATGCTTATAATCGCTCCAGCGGCGGTCGAAGTCAACGGAACCGTCGATTCTTTTCTGGAATACCGTCCATCCTCCACCGGCCGTTGTTTGATCACAGAAGGCATCAAAAGGTGACTGGATGTCAGGTTTGATGACGTACACACCGTCTCTTTTTTGGCCTGATTTAAAAATTTCAGCGCAATTTCTGAAAACTAGAAATAAAAAATACTAATCGCGTACATTATGCAACAAACAACAAAGTAATGAATGGATTGGAACTGATGAGAGCAATTAAAAAAATTGGTAAATTCAGACACAGAAGTGTTTTCCAAATAATATCGGTTCAAAAGAATTGTAATTTAAAAAAGGTGATTATAAAGATGACCAAAATAAGGAACTTAGGCAAGAAAGTAAACACACCTTACTTACGATAAAACAATTAAACGCAAAATTTATGAAATGACTTAGTTTTCGCTCTAACGCAGGGCTAACGCACGAAAGGTCAGTTTTAAAACTCTTTGCAGTCACCAATTTTTACGTTATCAACTCAGTTGATAATACTTTACAATCCTGTTATACTCTCCCACCGACGCTGCTCCACAGTTTCTTTAAAAACTTACCCCTTTTATTCATTAGGTCCGAGAGAGTTTAATTTTTGACCATATCATCACCTTTAATACCTTGGCAAACTTCTCCTCAGCTGAATTCTTCTGGACAGATACACCGAAAACCTTTACTTGTGAAACCAGCTTGGCAGGTGCCTCCATTCAAACATGGGCCGCTATCACAATGGTTCTGATCAATAAGAAATATAAAATAAAGCACGTTCCTTTAAACCTATAACCAAAGTTGTCATGATAACATTTCTAAATTCTAAAAAAGGAAAGTGTGTTAAGGAGCCGGTGAAAATTAATCACAAGCAAATTTCGTGCGTAATTGATAAAGATATGCAAGTTTCGTGGGCTAATTACAAAGTGCTGCGATACAAAACCCTCACAATTCCAAATTACTTAAACGTTTAATTGAAATTACCTAGTCTTCCTATCATAAATTCCGTCCGTCAACGGTAGAATATGTGTTTAAGTATTTTCTACTTTCATATCGATTTTTTTAGCTTTAAAAATACTTTAAAGGAATCACTATGAGCTTCAGGGAAGGAAGATTAATTCTTGGGAATTTTTTATAATTACTGTTATTACAATTTTTTTTAATCCACTGTGCTGGAAGTTCGTGCAATAACTTAAAGGATGTGATGTAGCCACCTGATATTTAAGTACGCTTTGATCACCATGGTAATATGGAAGATAAACAAGTCCAAAAAATGCATTCTTCGAAGATAGAGAACCTATCTGCACTCAAGTACCACAGAACAGCCCAAAGAGATAAATCAAATGTGCTCGTTACCTCAATGGCAAGGTGAGTGAAACCTTTTTCATAAGCGAGACTTTTGTCTGTAGCATTGTTTAACTGACATATGTGTTTTCCTTGGATAAATGGTCCCAGGTTGATGGACACGCAGTTGGGGTCCATATAACACAACACACGACAGCTCCCCTCATTAGGCACATCCTCAGTTTTGATTAAATGTTTCTTCATTTTCTTATTCGGGATTGGTTCTTTGAACACGATATTGCGAAACTCGTCATCTGTGGAAAGCAAACAATTTTTTTACTGTGGCTCTCTTCAAGATAAAGAGCTTTTCGATTACTTCTTAATCCAATTTTTATTCCCATACATCTTCAGTGCTTGCTCCTTGTAAATTAACTTTATCCATTTAGGTTTAAGGTCTTTACAAAACAAATCCCCATCAAAAATGTCCATGGAGTCGTATTCATGGGAGTTCTACAAATTTACGGAATAATGGCTATTTCTTCTTGAAATTATAAAATCTCTTCCAAACGTTTTGTAGTTAATCTAAATCTTTACAGTTATCAAAATTAAGAAACAATATGTAAAAGGTAAGTTCAAAATATAATATCAGTGATGGAGAAAGAGAAAAAAACAAATTCCACGAAACTTTTCCAAAAGTTTTGTATCCAGCGTAGTTTAATCGAATCCTCACAGCTACCGAAATTGAATCCTTAAAGTTACCAAAATTAATAAATTACGAGATATTCTTACCCAAACAGCAACTACACCAAGAGAAGAAAGTTCCAAACATGATGGAGACGATGAAGGCGATGGTTGTCATTTCGAGATGAAACCGGAGGTCTAAATAACGCATCCTTGCACATACGCGACAGGAAGCTACTTCTAATGCAGAAGGTGCCTCTATTTTTCACTCTTAATATATTACATAAAACAAAGAATGCAGGGGGTTTATTATTCTATACAGCAGGTATTTCATCCGAAAGGATTCTGAACTGGTTGCAATTAACTTATATGTGAATGAATGCCGTTTATGAAATATTTTGTAGCTTTGTATTACGACTACTCACAGCTGCTTCGACCGAAGATCGATGAAAAAAATATTACCACAGCTTTTTGAATAAAATTGACCTATCATTTTAAATTAAACGAAGAGTGATTCAATTGTACCAAATAGTGCTTAACGGTATAATTATCAAATAGAGAAGCTTTGACTATGCTCTGTTCTGTTTTTAAGTACTTAGGAAGCGGCAAGAGCACGCAAGAAGTATTGGGGGAAATACTTTTTTTCTTTTCTAAACAATCCGTTAAATTCCTCAGGCATTAGTTTCAATCTTCTAAACAAACCTTAATTCCAAAAGCGAATATCAGTGTCATCAGCATGCTCTATACACTCATAAAGCACGCTCCAATAAACATATCAGGATCCTGTCTGGTTCAAATAATCTGATTGGTTGAACAAGACGAACGCTTGGCAGGTCCAATTTAACAATTTTTCCGGCTGAATTGTGGTTCATAAAAACACGCAAGTTCTTTCACATGACAAATAGAAAATCAAAGTGCTCAAGACGTGTGTTGTATGGATAACGACAGCCGAATTTGTAAGCACATGAAGATCGCTCGGGATAACAGCTCTATAAAACTCGGCTGCTGTGTCTCATGTGGCCTACCACTCCACGCATCGGAAAGGATACCAGAGCAAGCTCTTAGTCGTTCATATCGAAGGGCAGTGGATGTAATTTCAATGCTTGATTCATTCCGATGAACGAAGATTGCAATGATAAGCTAGCCGCGATGGACCTTGGCATGATCACAGTCGCTTTGACACCTTCGTATTTGTATGAATTTTAACAATAATGCTAGTTTGTTTATGTTTTTCATCATTCCTATTTCGTTCTGTTTTGGTTTTGAACACGAAATCAAATATACTATACGAGTGTTAGCTGTGTTTGACTTTTATCATGCACCGTAAGTAATTAAGTTTGCTATGCAACTGAGCGTGAAAAACCTTCAAAAGTCGGACTTTCCATCTCGCTTTTTTTTTGAGGATTTTCATCTCTGCTCACGTTGTAGTAACGTAAATTACGGCGCTTGGCATTTTTACAAACGTTTGTTTAATTCTTCTGTTGCTACTTTCCGACTCGCTTGTTCCGAAATTTCATTTCCAATTAACGAAAGAAAGCTAGCGAAAAGTCCGGGAAAAGGTTGGACATAGTACAATTTGGTGAATGACGTGATAGCTTTAGTTCAGCTCTGTGTTTTGTACTCTGATAGAGCACGCTCTTTCAACCAGTGACAGCGTACGTTACATCTGAACTTTATAACAAAACTACTTGGAGATTCCCATGCAATTTATTATAAATAAATTCCCAGTACCATGGTTTGCTTTCACTAATTTTCATCGAATGACGTAATTTTAGGTTCGAAAAATCAGGTAAAAGAAAATTGAAATTTCTTGACTTGATTTGTCACATATGAATATGATTTTAAAAGTTTGTAAACTGGATCCACCATTTTTCACTAAAATGGAATTGAAGTATTTCGAAATTCTCTCGCAGCTCTGATTAACAGGAGAAAAAACTAGACATTTAAATCACAGCCATCTTTTTATTACTAACAGTGTCACTTCATCAGTCGATGAACGTAAAACCTTAGGCTGATAAGAACTCTGTAATGACTATGTAAACAAAAGCAAGAATCTTCAAGTGACATGATATTTGAAAACAACAGGAGATAACAGTCTTTATTCTTCTTCTCACAGATGGTTCAGAGACAGTTATTATTTTGACCTCGCTCCCTCTGCAGATTGTTGATGTTTTCCAAGAAACTCTACGGTAGTTTTTTTGTGTGTCAATTAACGATCACGGCTGCCGTTATCAGGAGCTTTACGAAGGAATTCCTCAGAGACTGGGAGTTTTTCGGCACATTTCCTTCAAACTTTCCGTGAAGACTGAAAAAACGTCGGCATCCTCCATAGATTTCAATGAGGTTGTTTAAAACTCTAAACTATTTCTGGTCAAGGAGCAGGTTTAAAGAAGGACAAGGTTTAAGAAATATGTTTTAAAGGAGGAACTTGACTTTATGAAAGAAAAAAAAATTGAAATCTAAAAGGATAAAGAGTTTCACTCCAGATTACCACCAACCAATAACTGAGAAATTTCATATGATTAGGAATTTCGTTTGTTTTCTCTCTTTCCTTCTTTTTCAAGGGGCGAGAGAGGTCCGGGAAGAGGTCGTACACAAAACAATTTGGCAAATGGCGTAACAACTTTAGTTCAGCTCTATGTTTTGTACTCTGATGGAGCACGTTTTTTCAACCAATGACAGCGCGCCCTATATCTGAACTTGAATGAATGAAAATGGAATTGAAATATTTCGAAATTCTCTCGCAGCTCTGAGAAAAGAGACACCAAGAGAAAGACTAGACATTTAAACCACAGCCATCTTTTTATTACTAGCAGTGTCACTTCATCAGTTGATGAACGTAAAGCCCTGCTGATTTGAACTCTGTAATGACTGAGTACACAAAAGCAAGAGTCTTCAAGTGACATGATATCTGAAAGCGAAAGGAGATAACGGTTTTTATTGTTTTTTCAGAGGGCACGGTAACGAATCTTGCAATCTGATTGGTTCTCAACCCGGTCAGTATTTTCCTATCTCTGCCCACGGGCCACGGTAACGCTTTCGTGAGGTTTTGTAGGGTTTAGTTTACAAAATCGAAACAGTTTGTTTACATTTTTATTCAATAATTTTCACTCCTTAATGGAGTCATACAGCCCTGAATGGCATAGCGAGAGCGAATTTTACTATCCTAGTAATACAGACGAGAACATTAACACTGAAAACATTGACAAACATGAACATGTCAATGAAAAGCCGTACAATGAGCAACAGTTCTTGCTTGAAGTGCGTGAATTCATCGAAGGGCAAAGGCCGGACAACACCAAGAAAAAAACATTCTACGACATAAATGTTTGGAAACGGTTCCTAACTTCGGCTGGCGAAGAGCGAAATATTGAAGACATACCTGCAAAGGACCTCAATGTCCTTATGTCCCGTTTCTTTATGGAGATAAAGAAGAAAGATGGCGACCAGTACGAGCCGGCGACACTGACTTCATTTCATCGAAGTCTACAAAGATATCTGAACGACCATGGCTCGACCCTTAACATCCTGAAAGATCAGCAGTTCTCTTTGTCCCGTGAGGCTCTTGCCTCAAGAAGAAGGCAGTTATTACGTCATTTTGGCAAAGGAAATCGCCCAAAGGCCGCTCGTCCCTTGACAGATGCAGAGGAAGACTTGATGTTTGAGCGCGGCGAATTTGGTCAACAAGACCCAGAAGTCCTACAAAGAACCGTCTGGTGGCTCTTGTCGCTCCACTTTGGGTTCCGAGCACGTGATGAGAGTAGAAAGCTGAAGTGGGGTGATGTAAAGCTCCAAATAAATGGTGAAACAGGCAATGAAGAATTAGTGTGGATCGCGGAGAGAGGATCAAAATGTCGCAGTGGTGAAGGACCTGGAAGGCCATTCTGCCCCACAGCACAAGCCAGCAATAACACACGCTGTCCTGTCTTCTTTTACAAAGCCTTTCGAAGCCATCGTCCGACAGAGATGAATAAGCCAGAGTCGCCTTTCTATTTAGCGATAAAATACAAACGAAAAGCAAATGATCCAGTGTGGTATGCAAACGCGCCACTTGGAAAGAATTCCCTCGGAAAGTTCTTGAAGATAGCGGCGAAAAGAACGGGATTGCAAGGGAATGTGACAAACCACGCGGTAAGGAAGACCTCCATTGGCCGTCTCCTAGATGCTGATTTTCCTTCGAACTACGTGGCCCAGCTCAGCGGCCATAAGAATCTAAAAAGTCTGGATTCTTACAAATCGGCTTCTTTAGATCACCAGCGCAAAATGTCTCTCGTCCTGAGTCGCTCAAAGCACGTGCAACACAGCACTAGCACCACGACAAGAGAAGAGATCGAAGCATCTACAGCATCTGCCAGTAAAACCAAAGCCAATGCTTTGCTTAATCCACCAGTCACTCCAGAAACAGCATCTGCCAAGGGCTTGTTTTCTGGTGCAACAATTGGCAAAATCGAAGGCTGTTCGTTCACCTTCAATGTTGTTGATGGCGCGAACAAAGAAAAATCTCCAAGAAAACGCCACATAATTATAAGCGACGACTCTGATTCAGATTAAAAACTTTGTGAAACACCTTTGTTTGGACTTCTCTACTAAAACATTTTTTCAGGTGTACAGATAACTAAAGTTGTTGATAAAACACTCGGCTGTAGTCATTTCTTGTTCCTGAAGTGATTTTATGCACGGTTCACACGCTGTTGACGCTTTCTGAAGCCACTCGTTGTTTGATTGACGGATGGTGTTTTTGACAGAGAAACCATTCCAAATGCAATTTCAAAATAGATTTTTATGATGCAGGAGTTACAAAATATACGTTGAAATACAAATATTGCTCTTTAAATCAAAGATCCTTGTAGTCGTTTATTTCATTTGCGGGAGAGAAGTGAGCGAAATGTACGGGAGGAAAACCTTAATCAGTCGTAAGTGATTTGAGAGATGGGTAAAAAAACAATAAATATGTTATTTACCGGCTAAGGGTCGGTCCGTATGGTGAAAAACTGTGACCTCGGCCTTGAATATGCTGCCCTCGGCCTACGGCCTCGGGCAGCATTTTCAAGACCTCGGTCACAGTTTTTCACGATACGGACCTCCCAGCCGGCAAATAACATATATTTATTCTACTTCTCTCAGTTGATTCAGAGACAGTTATTATTTCGACCGCGTTCCTTTTTCGCGTTATATCTGAACTATATATATGAAACTACTTGAAGATTCCCATGCTATTAATTACAAATAATTCCCAGTATCATGGTTTGCTTTTCCTAATTTTCATCGAATGAGGTAATTTCAGGTTCGACTGATAACAGTTTTTACTCTTCTTCTCACAGTTGGTTCAGAGACCAAACCAACACAGTTGGTTATTTCGACCGCACTCCTTCTACAGATTGTTCATGTTTTCCAAGAAACCCTGCAGTAATTTTTTTCTGTGTCAATTAACGAATACAACTTACGTTATCAGGAGCTTTGCAAAAGGAATTCCTCAGAGACTGGGAGTTTTTCCTTCAAATTTGCTTACTGCTATTACATGTAGACTCAAAAACCGTCGGCTTCCTCCAAAGATTTCAATGAGGTTGTTTTAAACTTTAAACCATTTCTGGTCAAGGAGCAGGTATCAAGAAAAAGGTTTTAAAAGAATATGTTAAAAAAGAGATACTTGACCTCAAGAAATAAAAAAGATCTAAATTCTGACACGAGTAAAGAGTTTCAATTAGATTACCACAAATCAATAACTAAGAAATTTCAACTGATTAGTTAACCCTTTAGTTCCCATGAGTGACCAAGATACCAACACAATATTAACCAGATAAGTAATAAATTCAAAATTCAATTTTGAGATAATTTGTTGACCCAATACTAAATTCTCTCAACTAATATCATAAGAATTGTATGGTTGACAGTAAGGAGAAAGACAAATTTGATCGGGAGTGAAAGGGTTAAGGATTTCATTTGTTTTCTCTCTTTCCTTCTTTTTCAAGGGATGAGGAGGAGGTGCTTGATACTAAATTGTTGTATCGCTAATACCGGCTTACTGATGTGATATTTCGATTTCAAGAGGAATTGACGACAAAGGAAAGGTTGATCATCGGATAATTGTAACTGCGAGGAAATAAAAGAGAAGTAGGAGTCAACTGAGGTGAAACATTTCGGAAATAAAAGTTAACTTTTATTTATGCTCCCGCTCAGCTCAAGTGCAATTTTTACATCTACAGTCTATTTTGAGCTTAGAATTAAAGCATGCAATGTTTGTTTATACAGAATTTCTTGATCACAAAGATTTGAAGGTAAACAGTGAGCTTCCATAAACCTAGGTACGTTTAGACATTATAACTAAAATTAATTTACCGTTGTATTGCATTTTAACAAAAACACATAATTAGTAACTGTCCTTTCAGAAACGTTCAAACATTTCTGAAATTGCGGAAAATGTAATTTTTTTCCACAAAACCTTTCCATTTACTTTACAGAAGCTTGAAGGATACTAATTTTGGAGACATGCATGATACACGACAAGCATATTTTAAAGTGTTCCAATTGCATACCAGAGTAAAATCTTTTGTGATAAGACGGAAGACGCTAACGTTTTGTTGACATACAACAAATTTTGTGTCTTTGCGTCATAGTTAGTACGTAATGATCGCAAGGAACACAGATGGGTTTGGACCGAACATTTGATAAGTTGCGTCCAAAAGCGAAAGAGTATCGTTAAGGATGGAGAAGATTGAAATGGATTGGAATTAGCTAACTTGAAAAATTTAAGCAAATATAATAGATGCTCATATCATAACAATGCCTCTTTAAAGCATATTTAAAAGAATGAGTCAGGCCGCCAACTCTCACTGCTTGCAAATGAAGATGAAAATGGTCATGACCAAACAATGATTATATCTGCCATTTGATAGCAGCCTTTACGAAGACTTTTTTTTTCAGTGATATAACACGAGACTCGCGACATGAATCGAACACGCATGAAAATGAGAACAAGCATCGTCCTTGTCGTTTCATTTTAACATTATTTGTTCAACATTCACGCAAATGAAAGACTGTAATATTATGCATTCGCTGTCTAGTTCTTGACTGTTCATGCAAAAATGTTCACGGTTGCCATGAATTGGTGATATTTTCCATTTTTTTTTTCAATTTCCTACTCTCTCGGTATCAATCAATCAGAGGTTGGCTTTCATCTTCTGTGTTGTGATAAACGTCAATGCCAAAATCAAAGCTATCTGCTATTATTTTCCATAAGACTCAGGTACAAGCTTTGTAATCAAACAGAGAAGGTCTGTCTATCCCTATGTCACTAAAAATGCTGAGTGAACGCGTTTGCTATGTTCAGAAAAGTTCAAGACATCATCCGTGCTACCTAACAGGTACTTCAGTCCAACTCAGACGACTCGCAGTCTTATGGTGATCTGAGTGCTTTGTTTTCCACCATTGGTATTATTTGGTTTTGTGTCGCTAACAATACTGAATAAAACCGTGTGCTGTGTTCAAAAATGCTTCAGCACAACAATCATTGCTATGTAAGAGAAACTATTATTCAGCAGCTTAAAAGTCTTGAGGTCTTATTTTCATCTGAGAGCTCTTCAATGAGTAACGAACACCTCGAAAATGTTCCCAAATATTGCCTTCGCCGTGATCAGGGTTAGGCCCATGTATGTAGGGACCATTCAAAAAAGCCTTGTGACACCACTTAAACCACCAGCCACCATGGTACTCGAGGGCACAGTTCCCAGTGGGTTTGAAATCGTTCTCTTCATCCGGAGTAGAAAATGGCCAGCCATTATGGTAAGAGAAGGAGTCACCAGCGGTTCCTGAGAAATTTACCAAAGCAAAAACCAGGAAAGTATTTAAAAGTTATACTGTCTTCAGTGGCGGATCCAGACCTTGAGCTAGGGAAAGGGAGGGAGAGGGGAAGGTTTTCTTTCGCTTTCTCTGCCGGCTTTTCTTTCCTCTGCGATTCCTTTGTTATTTTTTTTACCTAAAATAAGGAAGAGGAAGGGGCATGGGTCCCCTGGACCCCTCCCCTAGATCCGCCGGCCGCCACTGATCTTGCAAGAGTAGGTTTAAAGCATTGGCTGCATATTTGCTATTCCGTATAAATAAGGTTTAAGTTTTTACTCTTCCTTCCGCGCTCATGAAGTCTTTTCTGCATCTACGCTTGTTTGAGCTCGATTTACCACAGAAAATGTGTATATAGCTACCAAAATGGCTTCGAGTACACAATGAAAGTAGGTGGTGGTAAGAAGGAAGTAAGAAATGGAATCAGAAGACGAGACCGACCGGGTTAATAACATATCTTAATTATACTCCTCTCAAGAACCAGAACCTTTCAAACACTATTTTAACAACAAAAGACTGGGAAAAGGGAAAAAAAGAGAGATCTCCTCGAGATTATCTAAATCGTTTACTAAATGATTAACCATTATTGTATTTCGTTTTACGTGAATAGTACTTAGTACTATAGCTTAGTATTTTCTTAGCTTCCTTAACGATGTTCTCTTATTAAAGGACTGTAGTAAGATTTCCGTCTTTGTGTTGAAATTGTTGTTGTAAGCTTTTCTGCACAATGTGCGGGTAAAGGAATTTTGTCACCTGCTGTGTAATAAGAACCAAGGATCAACTGGTACTTGTCATGTTCACTCTTGACACCAAAAGAGCTGTATTCGGCATAAGCACTTCCCCCTTCGAAGTCCTCCATGTCTACTCGTAGCATGCTGTTATTATCTGAAGTCAGGCGATGAATCCTTTCTAAGCCAAGCCAAAATTCGCCACTGAGACTTCCGAAACCATGCTTATAGTCGCTCCAGTTGAGGTTGAAGTCAACGGAACCGTCGATTCTTTTCTGGAATACCGTCCATCCTCCACCGGCCGTTGTTTGGTCGCAGAAGACATCAAAAGCTGATCGGTCGTCAGGTTTGATGACGTACACACCGTCTCTTTTTTGGCCTGATTTAAAGATGTCAGCGCAATTTCTGAAAGCTAGAATAATAAAAAAATTGAAAAAATTGAAAAAAAAAAAAACTAATCGTATATATTATGCGGCAAACAAGGTATTTACTGGATTAGAACAGTATCTTTACTGATGAGAGTAATAAAAGAAATTGGTAAATTAAGACACAGAAGTGTTTTCCAAACGATATCGATTCGAAAGAATTGTAGTTAAAAAAAGGTCATGAAAAATGTAACCAAAATGAAAAAAAACTTAGGCAAAAAAGAAGACACACCTTACTTACGATAAAATAATTAGATAGAAAATATATCAAATAACTTAGGTTTCGCTTTAACGCAGAGGTAACGCACGAAAGTCAGCTTTAAAACTCTTTACGGTGGCCAATTTTTACGTTATCAACTCAGATGATAATACTTTGTTACCCTGTTATACTATCCATCCGACGCAGCACAACAGTCTCTGTAAAACTTACTCCATTTATTCATTAGGTTTCAAAGGGGTTATGTAGCAATTTTTTGACCATAACTTCACGTTTACATGATACCTTGGCAAACTTCTCCTCCGCTGAATTCTTCTGGGCAGATACACCGAAAACCTTTACTTGTGAAACCAGCTTGGCAGGTGCCTCCATTTAAACATGGGCCGCTACCACAAGGGCTCTAATCAATAGCAAATATAAAACAAAGCACGTTCCGCTATAAAGTACCATTAAACTTATAACCAAAGTTGTCATGATGACAGCTCCAAACTCTGAAAAAAGGAAAATGTGTAAAGCGCCATTAAGATTTTTTTAAAATTCCTCACAAGCAAATTTCGTGCCTGATTGACAAGGAGATGCAAGTTTCGTGGGCAAATAACAGCGTGCTGCGATACAAAACCCACGCAATTCCAAATTGCTTAAGCCCTTTATTGAAATCACCTAGTAATCTTATCTTAAATCTTGTCACCATATTTACGTATAAATATTTTCACATCAATTTTTTAGCTTTAAAAATACTTTAAAGGAATCACTATAAGCTTCAGTGAAGGACGATTAATTCTTAGGTTTTACTTTTTTATCCACCGTGCTTGAGGTTCGTGCTAGAACCTAAAGGATGTGATTTGAGCCACCTGTTATTAAAGCACGCTTTGGTCACGCCATGTTTATATGGAATATAAACAAGTCCACAAATGCATCCTTCGAGGCAAGAGAACCTACCTGCACTTAGGTACCACAAAACAGCCCTAAAAGATAAATCAAATGTGCTCGTTACCTCAATGGCAAGGTGAGTAAAACCATGTTCATTAGCGAGACTTTTGTCTGTAGCATTGTTTAACTGACATATGTGTTTCCCTTGGATAAATGGTCCCAGGTTAATGGACACGCAGTCGGGGTCCATATAACACAACACACGGCAGCTCCCCTCATTAGGCACATCCTCTGTCTTGATCAAATGATTCTTCAATATCTTGTTCGGGATTGGTTGTTTGAACACGATATTGCGAAATTCGTCATCTGTGGAAAGTAAACAAATTTTTGTTGTGTCCCTCTTCAAGAAAAAAAGCGTTTGGTTACTTTTTTTTTATCTGATGTTAATTCCCATCTATAGTAGAGGCGTGCTCCTTGTTAATTAACTTTATCCGTTTAAGTTTTGAATCGTACGGGAATTCGACAAATTTACGAAATAAGGGCTATATCTTCTTTAAATTATTATATCTCTTCCAAACGTTTTGTATATAACATAGTTAAATTGAATCCTTACAGTTACCAAAATTGAGAAACAATATGTAAAAGGTAACTTCACAAATATAATATCAGTACTGAAGAGAAGAAAAAAAATCCAATTCGAAAAAAATGGCTAGGAATGAAAATGGTATAAAAGCAGTTGGATTTGGTTTTAGTTACAAGTTTACAGGAGAAAAGTTTACAACAAGTTAAAAGTTTATTACAAACTTGAAAAAAAAAATATATATATATATACAAACACTGCAACATTGCAGCTTGTCGAGACTTAATGCATGAAAAATTTATCTGCAATAAAAGAGATATTTTAAGACAATAGAAGGAAAAAATAACGAGATGTTCTTACCCAAACAGCAATTACACCAAAAGAAGAAAGTTCCAAACACGATGGAGGCGATGAAGGCGAGGGTTGTCATTTTGAGATAAAACTGGATGTCTAAATAATGCATCCTTGCAGACACGCGACAGAAAGCTACTTCTAATGCGGAAGGCACTTCTATTTTTCACCCTTAAATATATTACATATTCTAAAGAATGCAGGGGGTGTATCATTCTAAGCAGCAGGTACTTCAGCCGCTTACAGGATTCTGAACTAGTTGCAATAAACTCGTGAGTGAGTGAATGCCCTTTATGAAATATTTTCAAGCCGTTTATAACGACTGCCAACAGCTGCTTCTACCGAAATGGATAAATATGTGGCACTTTAATTTTTGTTAAAAAATTTCGAGTTTTATCATATTGCGTGTTTCTCTTCCCTAATATGCTCTCTCAGGAAGTTAATTTAATTTGAACTTTTAATGAATGATACCTCTATGAGGTGTTGTTATGGAGATAACTGAAGGCAATTTATGCTCACGTTATAGTAACGTCAATTACGGCGCTTGGCATTTTCACATCCTTTGTTTGGTGCTTCTGTTTCTAATTTCCGGCACGCTTGTTCCGAAATTTCACTTCCAATGGACGAAAAAAAGCTAGAGAGAAGTCTGGTAAGTTGACAGAAATAGGACACTTTGATAAATGGCGTAAGAGCTTTAGTTCAAAGTACAATTTGGTAAGTAGTGTGACAGCTTTAATTCAGCTCTATGTTTTGTACTCTGATTTTCAAACAATGACAGCGCGCATCATTGGTTGAAGAGAGATTCCTGCGCGATTGATTATATCCCGTGCGAATATTCCCATGCGATTGATTATAAACAATTTCCCACTATCGTGGTTTGCTTTCCCTAATTTTCATCGTATGACGTAAATTCAGGTTCGAAAAGTAATGTGAAAGAAAATTAAGAAAAATTGAAATTTCTAGACTTGAATAAAAGAAGAGAATTGATTTGTCATATATGAATATGATTTTAATAGTTTGTAAACTGGATCCACCATTTTTCATTAAAATGGAATTGAAATATTTAGAAATTCTCTTGCAGCTCTGATTAACCAAGAGAAAGATAAGACATTTATACCACAGCTATTTTTTTATAACTAGCAGTGTTACTTCATAAGTTTGTAAACGTAAAACCCTAAGCTGATTTCAACTCTGTAATGACTGAGTAAACAAAAGCAAGAATCTTCAAATGACATGATATCCGAAAGCAACAGGAGATAACAGTCTTTATTCTTCTTCTCACAGTTGGTTCAGAGACAGTTATTATTTTGAACACACTCCTTCTGCAGATTGTTAATGTTTTCCCAGAAACCGAGCAGCAATTTTCTTTGTGTCAATGAATGAATACAGCTGCTGTTATCAGAAGGAATTCCTCAGAGACTGGGAGCTTTTCGGCACGTTTCCTTCAAACTTGCTGACTGTTACGTGTAGACTGAGAACCGTCGGCATCCTCCATAGATTTCAATGAGGTTTTTTTAAACTTTGAACCATTTTTCTGATCGAGGAGTAGGTGTTAAGAACAAGGTTTAAATAGTATGTTTTTAAAAGAGAAACTTGACTTTAAGAAAGAAAAATAAATCTGAATACTGAAAGGGTAAAGAATATCACTCTTTATTGCCTCCAACCAATAGCCGAAAAATTTTAACTGATTAAGAATTTCATTTGTTTTCTCTCTTTCCTTCTTTTTCAAGTGGTGAGGAGGAGGTGATTGGGAAATGACGACAAAGGAAAGGTTGATCGTCGGATGATTGTAACTGCGAAGAAATAAAAGAGATGTAGGAGTCAACTGAGGTCAAACATTTCGGAAATAAAATTTAACTTTTATTTATGCTTCCGCTCAGCTCAAGTGCATTTAAGTTGAATGCGTAATTTTTACATCTACAGTCTATTTTAAGCTTAAAATTAAAGCATGCAATGTTTGTCTACACAGAATTTCTTGATCACAAAGATTTTAAAGTTAAATTGCGTAATTTTTTCATCTACAGTCTATTTTGAGCTTAGAATTAAGGCATGCAATGTTGGTTTATACAGAATTTCTTGATCACAAAGATTTGAAGATAAACAGTGAGCTGCCGTAAACCTAAGCACAAATTGTAGCTAAAACTTATTTTATCATTGTATCGCTTTTTTGGCAAAATTCATAATTAAAAGCTGTCCTTTCAGAAACAATCAAACATTTCTAAAATTGCACAAACAGAATTTTTTCCCACAACACCTTCCATTTATATTCCAGAAGCTTGAAAGGATGCTAATTTTGGAGACACGCATGATACACGACAAGCATATTTTAAACTGAGAGTTCCGACTGCGTCATACCAGAGTAAAATCTTTTAGGATAAGACAGAAGACGCCAACTTTTTGCTGACATGCAAGAAATCTTGTGTCTTTGCGTCATAGTTAGCGCGCAATGATCGCAAGGAACACAGATGGGTTTGAACCGAACATTTGACAAGTTGCGTCAGAAATTATTTTAGGTTCTTTAAAAATTGATGTCAAAACTTTATAAAATAAGGAAAGCAATGATGCTTGCTTGCCTGTGTAGAAACACCAGAAAAAACAAACCTAAGAAAAAGGGAACGGAGATGATAAATTTAGAATGAAAAAGATTAAAATGAAACTCGGATGATAAACTTGACAAACTTTTGCTTATTTATTTCATGTGCAAATTACCAGCCTTTAGTGTGGAGGAAATCCCCAAATAATTAGTCCAATGAGATCAGAAAAACACTAAAACAAGATCAATTAACCCGAAACAAATGAGGATGAGGAAGGATGGGGAGGATTGTCATAGATTTTAAAACAGTTATAAGCTTGAAACAGCTGTCTTAATTAATGAACAAAATTAGCTTTAGCGTCAAGAAAACCACAAAATATGAGTTTGGTAAGACGGGAAAAAAACAACATCGAAGAGAATTTGCCAAAAGCGAACGGGTATTGTCAAGGATGGAGAAGATTGAAATGGATTGGAAATAGCTAATTTGAAAAATTGATGCAAATATTATAGATACTTATATCATTACTATGCCTCTTTGTAGCATATTTGAAGGACTGAGTCAGTCCGCCCACTCTCACTGATTGCAAAAGAAGATTAAAATAGTCATGACCAAAGAATGATCATAAAAGCCCTTTGATGGCAGCCTTTCCGAATTTTTTTTTTCTCAGCGACTTAAATCGAGACTTGACTCGAACAAGCATGAAAATGAGAACAAGCATCGACCTTGTCGTTTGATTGTAAGATTATTTGTTCAACGTTCACGGAAATGACAGACTGTAATACTATGCATTTGCTGTCTGCTTCTTGACTGTTCATGCAAAAATGTTAGCGGATGTCATGAATTGGGGATATTTTGCTATTTTTCTTAATTTCATCCTCTCTCGGTATCAATCAATCAGAGGTTGGCTTTCATCTTCTGTGTTGTGATAAACGTCACTGCCAAAATAAAAGCTGTCTACTATTATTTTCCATAAGACTCGGGTACAAGCTTTGTAATCAAACAGAGAAGGTCTGTCTTCACTCTGTTTGAGTGAAAGCGTTTGTTATGTTCAAAAAAGTGTAAGACATGATCTGTGCTACGTAAGAGGAACTCAGACAACTCCAACTCAGACGACTCGCAGTCTTATGTTCATCTGAGTACTTTATTTTCCGCCTCTTGTTTTATTTGGTTTCAAATCGCAAACAATACTGAATAAAACCATATGCTGTGTTCGAAAACGCTTCAACACAAAATCAGTGCTACGTAAGAGATAACTACTAATCAGCAGCTTAAAAGTCTCGAGGTCTTGTAAGCACTTAGGAAGCGGCTAGAGCACGCAAGAAGTATTGTGGGAAACACGAGACGCAGTGGATTCTTTTCTAAAGAATCCGTTAAATTCCCCAGGCATTACTTTCAATTATCAAAACAAACTTTACTTCCGAAGCGATTATCAGTGTCGTCAGCATGCTCTATACTCTCATAAAGCACGCTCCAATAGGCATATCAGGATCCTTGTAAAAAGGGTTCAATAATCTGATTGGTTGAATAAGACGAATCCTGTCAAAAATGTCCAACCATCAAAGTTCAGTAACCATCGAAGTTTACAATCTGCAATAGTTTACAAACTGAATTAGTTTGGCAGGTTCAATTTAACACTTTTTCCTGAAGTTTTTTTTTTTTTTTTTTTTTTTGTCTCTAACATATAATCTGAAAGTGAAATGTTCAGTGAATTCCGGCTGAATTGGGGTTCATAAAAAAACGCAAGTTCTTCCACAAAAACAAACTGCGTAAGACGTGTGTTGTATGAATAGCGACAGCCGAATTCACAAGTACATGAAGATTGCTCGGGATGACAGCACTGTAAAATTCGGCTGCTGTGACTCATGTGGCCTTCCACGCATCGGAAAGAATATCAGATCAGAGCAAACTCTTAGTTGCTCACTCGAAGGGCGTCCGGTGTAATTCCAAGGCTTGCTTCAATGCGATGACCGGAGATGGCCATGATAAGCTAGCCGCGATGGACCTTAGCATATTTAATTTTAACAATAATGCCAGCTTGTTTATGTTTTTCATCATTCCTATTTTGTTATGTTTTGTTTTTGAACTATATACTACACAAGTGTTAGCTGTGTTTGATTTTTATCACCTTAAGTAATTAAGTTTGCAATCTAACTGAGCATGAAAAACCTTCAAAACTCGGACTGTCCATTTCACTTTCTCTAGAAGGAGATTCATCTCTGTTCACGTCAGTTAAGGGGCTTGGCATTTTTAAAAACCTTTGTTTGGTTCTTCTGTTGCTACTCTCCGGCTCGCTTATTCCAAAATTTCACTTACAATTAGCGAAAAAAGCTAGAGAGAGGTCCGAGAAGAGGTTGGACACAATACAATTTGGCAAATGGCGTGACAACCTCAGTTCAGCTCTATGTTTTGTACTCTGATAGAGCACGCTTTTTCAATCAATGACAGCGCGCGTTATATCTGAACTATATATAAATAAAACTACTTGAAGATTCCCATGCTATTAATTACAAATAAATTCCCAGTATCACGGTTTGCTTTTTTAATAAATTTTCATCGAATGAAGTAATTTCAGGTTCGGTTGATGACAGCTTTTATTCTTCTTCTCACAGTTGGTTCAGAGACAGTTATTATTTTGACAGCGCTCCTTCTGCAGATTGTTCATGTCTTCCACGAAACCTTGCAATTTGTTTTGTGTGTCAATTAACAAACACAGCTGCCGTTATCAGGAGCTTTACAAAAGGAATTTCTCAGAGACTGAGAGTTTTTCCTTCAAATTTTCTAACTGTTATTACGTGTAGACTGAAAAACCGTTGGCATCCTCCAAATATTTCAATGAGGTTGTTTTAAACTTTAAACCATTTCTGGTCGAGGAGCAGGTGTTACGAACAAGGTTTAAAGAATATGTTTTAAAAGAGAAACTTGACTTTAAGAAAGAAATCTGAAAGGGTAAAGATTTTCATGCTAGATTACCACCAACCAATAACTGAGAAATTTCAACTGATTAAGAATTTCATTTGTTTTCTCTCTTTCCTTCTTTTTCAAGAGGTGAGGAGGAAATGATTGATACTCAATTGTTTTATCACTAATACTGGCTTACTGATGTGACATTTTGATTTCAATAGGAAATGACGACAAAGGTAAGGTTTATCGTCGGATAATTGTAACTGCGAGGAAATAAAAGAGATGTAGGAGTCAACTGAGGTCAAACATTTCGGAAATAAAAGTTAACTTTTATTTATGCTCCCGCTCAGCTCAAGTGCATTTAAGTTGAATTGCGTAATTTTTACATCTACAGTCTATTTTAAGCTTAGAATTAAAGCATGCAATGTTTGTCTACACAGAATTTCTTGATCACAAAGATTTGAAGACAAACGATGAGCTGTCATAAGCCTAAGCACGTTTAGACATTGTAGCTAAAATTTCTTTTACTGTCGTATCGCTTTTTAACCAAAATTCATAATTAACAACTCTCCTTTAAAAAACGTTCAAACAATTCTGAAATTGCGCAAATAGTATTTTTTTTTTCCACAAAACCTTTCCATTTATTTTCCAGAAGCTTGAAAGGATGCTAATTTTGGAGACATATGCATGATACATGACAAGCATATTTTAAAGTGTTCCAATTGCGTCATACCAGAGTAATATCTTTTAGGATAAGACGGAAGACGCCAACGTTCTGTTTACATGCAACAAATTTGTGCCTTTGCGTCATAGTTAGTGCGTAATGATCGCAAGGAACACAGATGGGTTTGGACGGAACATTTGACAAGTTGCGTCAGAAATTATTTTACGGTTGTTGAAAATTGATGTCAGTTTCAACTTGAAAAAATAAGGAAAGCAATAATGATTGCTTGCCAAAGTAAACAAACTTAAGTAATTAATTAATCAAGGATGATAAAGATTAAAATGAGTCTCAGATGATAAACTTGACAAATTTTTACTGATTTGTATAAAGTACAAGTTACCAGCCTTTGGTGTGGAGGACGCCAAATAGAAATGTTTCTAACAAACGAGGAATTAAATATGTGGTAAGCTTGCAATAGCCGCGTTTTACAATGTACAAAATTAGATTTAGCGTTAAGAAAACCATAAAATTTGATTTTGGTAGGACGGGAGAAAACAACATCGAAGAGGATTTGCTAAAAGTGAACGAGTATTGTTCAGGATGGAGAAGATTTAAAGGATTGGAAATAGCTAACTTGAATAATTTTGGCAAATATAATAGATGCTCTTATCATAACAATGCCTCTTTAAAGCATATTTGAAAGACTGAGTCAGGCCGCCTACTCTCACTGCTTGCAAATTAGGATTAAAAAGGTCATGACCAAATAATGATGATAAAAGCCGTTTGATGGCAACCCGAGGACTTTTTTAAGCGACTTAACTCGAGACTTACGACATGAATCAAACAAGCATGAAAATGAGAACAAGCATCGACCTTGTCGTTCGATTTTAACATTATTTCTTCAACCTTCACGCAAATGACAGACTGCAATACTATGCATTTGCTGTCTGCTTCCTGAATTTTCATGCAAAAATGTTCACGCTTGTTAAGAATTGGAGATATTTTGCTAGTTTTTCAATTTCATCCTCTCTTGGTGTCAATCAATCAGAACTAGTTGGCTTTCATCTTCAGTGCTGTTATAAACGTCACTGCCAAAATAAAAAGAAAAGTTTAAGACATGATCTGCGCTTCGTAAAAGGAACTTCACTCCAACTCTAAAGACTCTCAGTCTTGTGGTCATCTGGGTGCTTCGCTTTTCACCTTTAGTTTTATTTGGTTTTATATCGCTAACAATACTGAATAAAACTGTGTGCTGTGTTCGAAAAAGCTTCAGCACAAAATCAGTGCTATGTAAGGGAAACTGGTATTCAGAGACTCAAAAGTCTCGAGGTCTTATTTTCATTTGAGAGCTCTTCAATGAATAACGAAAATCTTTAAAAACTTCCCAAATAAAGCCTTCGCCGAAATAAGAGTTAGGCCCACGTATGTAAGGACCATTCAGAAAAGCCCTGCGACACCACTTAAACCACCATCCACCATGGTACTTAATGGCACAGTTCACACTGGGATTGAAATCGTTGTCTTTATCCGGAGTTGTAAATGGCCAGCCATGATGATGAGAGAAGGAGTCACCAGCGGTTCCTAAGAAATTTACCAAAGCAAAAACCAGGAAAGTATTTAAAAGTTATAAAGTCTTCAGTGGCGGATCCAGACCTTGAGCAGACCTTTTTTTTTTGTCGCTAGCCCGGCCGGCTTTACTTCCTTCTGCGATTCTTTTCTCTTTTTACCCAAAATAAGGAAGGTATAAATATATATGTTGTATAAATAAGGTTTAAGTTTTTACACTTCCTTCCGCGCTTATGAATTCTTTTTCTGCATCAACGCTTGTTTGAGCTCAATTTACCAGAGAAAATATATATACAGCTACCAAAATGGCTTCGAGTACACAATTAAAGTAGGTGGTGTGAAGGAAGTAAGAAATGAAATCAAAAGACGACACCGATAGGGTTAATAACATATCTCAATTACTCTCGTCCCAAGAATCAGAACCCTTCAAACACTTTTTTATGAACAAAGGCTGAAAAGGAAAAAATAAAAAAGGGATCTTGTGAATATCTAAATCGTTTACTAAATGATTATCGAGTTTCTTTTTCCTTGAATAAACCGCTCGGCTTAGTACATTCTTAGTTTCCCTAACAATGTTCTGCACTGTAGTAAGATTTACTTCTCTGTTTGTGTTGAAATTGACGTTGTTAGCTTTTCTGCACAATGTGCGTTTAAATTAGTTTAGTCACCTGCTGTGTTATAAGAACCAAGGATCAACTGATACTTGTCATGTTCACTCCTGACACCAAAAAAGCTGTATTCAGCATAAGCACTTCCCCCTTCGAAGTCCTCCATGTCTACTCGTAGCATGCTGTTATTATCTAAAGTCAGGCGATGAATCCTGTCCAAGCCAAGCCAAAATTCGCCACTAAGATTTCCGAAGCCATGTTTATAATCGCTCCAGTTGAGGTTGAAGTCAACGGAACCGTCGATTCTCTTCTGGAATACCGTCCATCCTCCACCAGCTGTTGTTTGGTCGCAGAAGACGTCAAAAGCTGACTGGTTGTCAGGTTTGATGACGTACACACCGTCTCTTTTTTGGCCTGATTTAAAGATGTCAGCGCAATTTCTGAAAGCTAGAATAAAAAAGACAATTTAATCGCGTATATTAAGCAGCAAACAACAAGGTATTGACTGGATTAGAACAGTATCTTCACTGATAAGAGCAATAAACAAAATGGTAAATTTAGACACAAAAGTGTTTTCCAAACGATATCGGTTCGAAAGAATTGTAATTAGAAAAAACGTCAGCTTTAAAACTTTTTGCACCAACCAATTTTTGCGTTATTAACTCAGTTGATAATACTTTATTGCCCTGTTATTCTTGCCCACCGACGCAGCACCACAGTTTCTTTAAAGAGACTCTTCCAGAGTTTTATGTTGCAATTTTCGACAATATCATCATGTTTACAATACCTTGGCAATTTTCTCCTCCGCTGAATTCTTCTGGACAGGTACACCGAAAACCTCTACTTGTGAAACCAGCTTGGCAGGTGCCTCCATTTAAACATGGGCTGCTATCACAAGGGTTCTAATCAATAGCAAATATAAAATGAAGTACGTTTTATCAAACCCAAACCAAAGTTGTCATGATAACATCTCCAAACTCTGGAAAAAGGAATCACAAGCAAATTTCGTGTCTAACCGATAAGGAGATACAAGGGTCGTGGGCTAGTTACAACGTTCTGCGATACAAAACCCACGCAATTCCAAATTACTTAAACTCTTAATTGAAATCGCCTAGTCTTCGTATCTTAAATTTTTGTCAACAATAGAATATGCGTTTAAGTATTTTCTACTTTCATATCGATTTTCTAGCTTTAAAAATACTTTAAAGGAATCACTGTAACCTTCAGTGAAGGACGATTAATTCTTAGGGTTTTTTTTTTTTTTTATTATTTTTTATCCACTGTGCTTGAGATTCGTGTAAGAACTTGAAAGATGTGATGTAGCCACCTGTTATTAAAGTACGCTTTGGTCACCATGGTTATATGGAAGATAAAAAAGTCCACAAATGCATCTCTCGAAGATAGAGAACCTATCTGCACTCAGGTACCACAAAACAGCCAAAAAAGATAAATCAAATGTGCTCGTTACCTCAACGGCAAGGTAAGTAAAACCTTGCTCATAAGCGAGACTTTTGTCAGTGGCATTGTTTAACTGACATAAGTGTTTTCCTTGGATAAATGGTCCGAGGTTGATGGACACGCAGTTGGGGTCCATATAACACAACACACGACAGCTCCCCTCGTTAGGTACATCCTCAGTCTTGATCAAATGATTCTTCATGATCTTATCCGGGATTGGTGCTTTGAACACGATATTGCGAAACTCGTCATCTGTTGAAAGCAAACAATTTTTTACTGTGGCTCTCTTCAAGAAAGGATTGGAATGAGGATGGTCTGAAGACAGTGGGTTTCAGCTTAGGTTACAAGATTACAAGTAAAAAGTCTACAACAAGTTACTGGTATATCACAATTTTGAAATGAAAAAAAAAAAAAAAAAAGATACACTTCTCGCAACTAGCTACAGTTTGTCGAGACTGAATGCATGAAAAATTAATCTGCAGTAAAAAAGATATCTTCTGACAATATAAGGAAAAAGTAACGAGATATTCTTACCCAAACAGCAACTACACCAAGACGAGAAAGTTTCAAACATGATGGAGACGATGAATGCGATAGTTGTCATTTTGAGATACAACTGGAGGTCTGACATAACACTGGACGCGTAACGCTTCTTTGCAGATACGCAACAGAAAGCTACTTCTAATGCAGAAGGTATTTCTATTTCTTACCCTTAAATATATTATTTTCTCTCAATAATGCAGGGGGTGTATTATTCTAAACAGCAGGTACTTCAGCCGTAGACAGGATTCTGAACTAGTTCTATTTAACTAATATGTTTTTATTATGTTTGTACGTTTATTATGCTAATATATGTTCAACTAATATGTTTTTGCTGTTTAGTTTGTAACGACTGCCTTCAGCTGCTTCCACCAAAATGAATAAAAGTGTCGCAACATGACAAGTTCTATCATGTTGCGTGTTTCTCTTAATATGCTCTCTCGGGAAGTTAAATTACTTTGAACTTTCAATGATACCTCCACCAGGTGTTGTTAGGGAGATAAAAGCAGTTTATACTCACGTTATAGAAAGGTTAATTACGGCGTTTGGCATTTTCACAATCCTTTATTTGGCTCTTCTCTTGCTAATTTCCGGCTCGCGGAAAAAAACCAAAACGAAAAAAAGCTAGAGAGATGTCCGGGAGAAAGGTCGACATACTGCAATTTAGTAAATGACGTGAGAGCTTTAGTTCAGATCTATGTTTTGTACTCTGATAGAGCACGCTCTTTCAACCGATGACTGCGCGTGATATCTGAACTTTAAATACAACGAGATGATTCCCGTGCGATTGATTATAAATAATTTCCCAGTACCATGGTTTGCTTTTCCTAATTTTCACCGAATAATGTAATTTCAGGCTCGAAAAGTCATGTAAAAGAAATTCAGAAAAATCGAAATTTCTAAGCTTGATTTGTCACATGTGAACATGATTTTAAGAGTCTGTAAACTGGGTCCACCATTTTGTCACTAAAATGGAATTGAAATATTTCGAAATTCTCTCACAGCTCTGATTAACCAAGAGAAAGACTAAAGATTTATACCACAGCTATCTTTTTGTTACTAGCAGTGTTACTTCATAAGTTTGTGAAAGTAAAACTCTAAGCTGATTTGAACTCTGTAATGACTGAGTAAACAAAAGCAAGAATCTTCAAATGACATGATATTTGAAAGCCACAGGAGATTACAATCTCTATTTTTCCTCTCACAGTTGGTTCAGAGACAGTTATTATTTTTACCACACTCCTTCTGCAGATTGTCAAAGTTTTCCCAGAAACCTAGCAGTAATTTTCTTTGTGTCAATTAACGAACACAGCTACCGTTATCAGGAGCCTTACAAAAGGAATTCCTCAGAGACTGGGAGCTTTTCGGCACGCTTTCTTCAAACGTGCTTACTTTTTATTATGTGTAGACTGAGAAACCGTCGGCATCCTCCATAAATTTCAATGAGGTTTTATTAAAATTTAAACCATTTCTGGTCAAGGAGCAGGTGTTAAGAACAAGGTTTAAAGAATATGTTTTGAAATAGAAACTTGACTTTAAGAAAGAAAAATAAATCTATACTGAAAGGGTAAAGAGTATCACTCTAGATTACCACCAACCAATAACCGAGAAATTTCAACTGATTAAGAATTTCATTTGTTTTCTCTCTTTCCTTCTTTTTCAAGAGGTGAGGAGGAGGTCATTGATACTAAATTGTTTTAGCAAATGACAACGAGGGAAAGGTTGATCGTCGGATAATTGTAACTACGAGGAAATAAAAGAGATGTAGGAGTCAACTGAGGTCAAACATTTCGGAAATAAAAGTTGACTTTTATTCATGCTCCCGCTCAGCTCAAGTACAATTAAGATAAGTTACGTAAATATTTCATCTACAGTCTGTTTTGAGTTTAGAATTAAAGCATGCAATGTTTGTTTATACAGAATTTCTTAATCACAAAGATTTGAAGATAAACAGTGAGCTGCCATAGACCTAAGCACGTTTAGACATTATAACTGAAACTTATTTTATCGTTGTATCGCTTTTTAACCAAAATTCATAAATAAGAGCTGTCCTTTCAGAAAAGTTCAAACATTTATATTCCAGATATTGAAAGGATGCTAGTTTCGGAGACACGCATGATACACGACAAGCATATTTTAAACTGAGTGTTCCGACTGCGTCATACCAGAGTGAAAACTTTTAGGATATGATGGAAGACGCCAACTTTTTGTTGACATGCAACAAATCTTGTGTCTTTGCGTCATAGTTAGTGCGCAATGATCGCAAGTAACACAGATGGGTTTGAACCGAACATTTGACAAGTTGCGTCAGAAATTATTTCAGGTTCGTTAAAATTTTATGTCAACGCTTTATAAACTAGGGAAAGCAATAATGCTTGCTTACCTGTGTAGAAACACACACACACAAAAAAAGAACAAACCTAAGTAAGAGGGAACGGGAGTGATAAATTTAGGATGAAAAAGATTAAAATGAATCTCAGATGATTAACTTGACAAACTTCATATCATGTGCAAATTATTAGCTTTTAGTGTGGAGGAAACCCCCAAAAATTAGTCCAATGAGATAGAAAACACTAAAACAAGATCAATTAACCCAAAACAAATGGGGATGAGGAAGGATGAAGAGGATTATCATAGATTTTAAAACAGTGATAAGCTTGAAACAGCCGTCTTAAATAATATGCGAAATTAACTTTAGCGTCAAGAAAACCACAAAATATGAGTTTGGTAGGACGGGAAAAAACAACATCGAAGAGAATTTGCCGAAAGCAAACGGGTATTGTCAAGGATGGAGAAGATTTAAATGCATACGAAATAGCTAATTTGAAAAATTGATGCAAATATTATATTATCATAACAATGCCTCTTTGAAGCATATTTGAAGGACTGAGTCAGTCCGCCCACTCTCACTGCTTGCAAATTAAGATTAAAATAGTCATGACCAAACAATGATCATAAAAGCCCTTTGATGGCAGCCTTTACGAAGTCTTTGTTTCTTAGCGACTTAACTCGAGACTTGCGATATGACTCGAACAAGCATCGACCTTGTCGTTTGATTGTAACATTATTTGTTCAACCTTCACGCAAATGACAGACTGTAATACTATGCATTTGCTGTCTGCTTCTTGACTGTTCATGCAAAAATGTTAACGGTTGCCATGAATTGGAGATATTTTGCTTTTTTTTCTTAATTTCATCCTCTTTCGGTATCAATCAATCAGAGGTTGGCTTTCATCTTCTGTGTTGTGATACACGTCAATGCCAAAATAAAAGCTGTCTACTATTATTTTCCATAAGACTCGGGTACAAGCTTTGTAATATATATCAACAGAGAAGGTCTGTCTTCACTCTGTCTGAGTGAAAGCGTTTGCTGTGTTCAGAAAAGTGTAAGACATGTTCTGTGCTACATAAGAGGAACTTCAGTCTAACTCAGACGACTCGCAGTCTTATGGTCATCTGAGTGCTTTATTTTCCACCTCTGGTGTTATTTGGTTTCAAATTGTTAACAATACTGAATAAAACCGTGTGCTGTGTTCGAAAACGCTTCAGTACAAAATCATTGCTAGGTAAGAGACAACTACTGATCAGCAGCTTAAAAGTCTCGAGGTCTTATTTTCATCTTAGAGCTCTTCAATGAGTAACGAACACCTCGAAAATGTTCCCAAATATTGCCTTCGCCGTGATCAGGGTTAGGCCCATGTATGTAGGAACCATTCAAAAAAGCCTTGTGACACCACTTAAACCGCCAGCCACCATGGTACTCGAGGGCACAGTTCCCAGTGGGTTTGAAATCGTTCTCTTCATCCAGAGTAGAAAATGGCCAGCCACGATGGTAAGAGAAGGAGTCACCAGCGGTTCCTGAGAAATTTACCAAAGCAAAAACCAGGAAAGTATTTAAAAGTTATACTCTCTTCAGTGGCGGATCCAGACCTTGCGCTAAGGAAGGGGGGGAGGGGGAGGTTTTCTGTCGCTTGGACTGCCGGCTTTTCTTCCCTCTGCGATATTTTTATTATTTTTTTTTTTACCCAAAATAAGGAAGGGAGAAGTGGATTGGGTCCCCCTGGCCTCTTCCCTAGATCCGCCACCGCTCTTGCAAGAGTAGGTTTAATTGCTGCATATCTGTTATTCTGGGCCGGGTTGTTCGAAAAGGGGTTGACTTTAGTCCTGGTTTAAAAGTTAACCTTGGATTTAATTTCTCATGTAGAAGAGCGTGTACAGGAGCCAAGGTTTTGTTGGGTTTTATCTCAGTATGACTCAAAACTAACAGGGAAAAATGCAAACAAATAAATCCCTTTGCAGAGCTATAAAACTGAATTGAAAATTCACACTAACCCCGTGTTAGGTAAAGCGTGTTTTAAAAAACCAGGCCCTGTATAATAACGTTTAAGTTTTTACCTCTCCTTCCGCGCTTATGAAGTCTTTTCTGCATCCACCCTTGTTTGGGATTGATTTGCCGCAAAAAATGTGTATATAGTTACCAAAATGGCTTCGAGTACACAATGAAAGTAAGTGGTGATAGGAAGGAAGTAAGAAATGAAACCCGAAGACGAGACTGACAGGGTTAATAACATATCTTAATTATACTCCTCTCAAGAACCAGAACCCTTCAAACACTATTTTATCAACAAAAGGCTGGGAAAAGGGAAAATAATTCCCTTAGATATCATCTAAATCATTTACTAAATGATTAACCATTATCGAATTTCGTTTTACGTGAACAGTTTTTAACCGCTGGGCTTAGTATTTTTCTTAACTTTCTTAACAATGTTCTATCTCTTATTCAATTACTTTACTAACATTTCTGTCTTTGTTTGTGTTAAAAATTGTTGTTGTTGTCTCCGGTCATCGCATTGAAGCAAGCCTTGGAATTACACAATGCGCGTGTAAATCAGTTTAGTCACCTGATGTGTTATAACAACCAAGGATCAACCGGTACTTGTCATGCTCACTCCTGACACCAAAAGAGCTGTATTCGGCATAAGCACTTCCCTCTTCGAAGTCCTCCATGTCTACTCGTAGTATGCTATTATTATCTGAAGTCAGGCGATGAATCCTTTCTAAGCC